TATGCCCCCCACACACACTGAGGGATATGCACCCCACTGACCCCCCTATGTACACCATTGCCCTCCAACTGAGGAATATACCCCTACTGACCCCTCACTGGGGAACATATACCCACTGACCCACATATATATGCTGTTGCATCCCAACTGAGGAAAGTACACCCTACTGACCCCTCACTGAGGAACATGCACCCCACTGACCCCCCATATGTACACCATTGACCTCCAGCTGAGGAATATACACCCTACTGACCCCCCACTGAGGAATATACACCCACTGACCCCCATATATATGCCACTGCACCCCACTGAGTATATACCCTAATGACTATGCACACCGTTGCCCCACACGGAGGAATGCACACCTCGTTGACCTCCGTAGACACACCTTTGTCCCCCCTGGTGAGGAAGATACACAACCCCACCCCATATGTATGCCATTGCACCCCACTGAGGAGTACACACCCTACTGACTCCCCTATACACACACACCACCATTGCCTCACACAGAGGAATATACACCCCACTGACCGTACAGGCACACTACTGCCACATGTGCAGACCTTTTTGCGTTCCCCAAAGGCACACCATTGATACATGGGGCATATTGCCTCCATTCACACAAGAGACACTCACACATGACACATTGCCATCACACACTGACATGCACTTAACCCTTACCCTATGGCCTCCATGCCTTCAACTGACACTCGCACACTTCACATTACCCACACACATTAATACACACACTGACCCCATTGCCTCTATATACACAACTCAGACTCGCACATGACACATTGCCCCACACACACTGATCACACTACCTCCCTATGCAACCACAACTCAGACTTGTACACACCACATTGCCCCCGCACATGGATACATGTGCCACTGACACTCTCCTGCATACCCCATTGGCCCCCCACAGCACCAACACATCCCATTGCCTGTCACACTCACACAGACCATTCCTGCAACCTTGCATTTCTACACAAACACCTTGCTAGTGGCACACTTCATACCACACAGGCAACCCTGGCTCACGGCTGCTGATGAAGAAGAAAAGGAGGAGGAGGTAGAGACTGGATTTATACCCCGTCCTTCACTACCTGAAGGAGTCTCAGAGCGGTTTACAATCTCCCTCCCCCTCCCCACTACAGACACCCTGTGAGGCAGGT